ACTAGTTCTAATTTTCACCTACATCATTTTGAGTACCCCGAGTGTCATAGTTTAAGCTTGGAGCAAATGTGGAATGTCACTCTACTCTTTGGTGATTTTGAAGTCATATCTGAACTCCACAGTTCAAAATCAACTTCTGAAGTAATTTGACACCATCTTCTAATTTGCCTCACTGACTTTTTATTGTTTCTCAAAACATATTCTCTCAAAATCAGAAAATTAGGGCGAGGAGTTCAGTCACAAAAAATAAAAAATAACGAGTGACAACATACATTTTCTCCAAGTGTAGTATACTAGGCTCTGAGTCTGAATAAGGGAAACAAGTGTACAGTTTTGATACGTATAAGATCTAAATAATCCCCAAAGTAGCTGTCATTGCCTGATGAGAGTTTTAATGTGAAATTAACGCAGGTACTTATGAAAGCATAGAATATCTCTAAGTATTCTGTGATTATGATTATCTCTTACTGAAGAGTACACATGAAGCTCTTTTTTAAGAAACAAAATCAACCTACAGTAAAACCTGTCTTAAATTCGAATGTCATTTAGACTGGCTGAAAGCATTTAGATAATAGGAGGTGTTTGGATATTAAGGTTTTTGCATCTGCAATATTCTATAACATCTGTATTTGAAATGAAATGGGTACATTTTGAGATAACCATTATTCAATGATTTCCTGAGTGATGAGATTTGAATGCCGACCCCTTATCACATTTTGGGAATGATTGATATTTCAGATCATATTCTTCAGCTACCAATTAATAAGTTTTCCCACATTATTTATGTTACCACCGTGAACTTTAAGTTCATAAATAGTAAACACATCGAAGAAACATTGTGTTCAAACAATCCATGTTTCTCAATTGAAACAATTTTTTCTAATTTCCACATTCAAAATACAGTAAAACCTGTCCGATGGAATACCTCTCTGTAGGGAAAACCTATAAACAAGGAATGCTTTTCAAAAGAACCAAATATTTTTCCATTGACTTACATGTTAACGGACCCTCTCTGTAGGGAAAACCTGTGAACAGGGAACAAGGAACACTTTTTTGGGCAAATTATGAAAATTCACCTGTGAACATGGAATATTGGTAACACTGTATATTCCATTATTTTTCAAAGGTTTGAAAGTCCTAAGCAAATATCTGATTCTAAAAAGCTTGGATTAATATGATTGAGATTAAGATAAGCCAATTGTTTACACGATGAAGCATCCCACCCCCTGTTAATTACCCTGATATATTTTATAACTAATACTAATCTGTTTGTTACTTAATATCATGACACTTATTCTTCCTTTAAACAAACCTTATTACTTCTCTTTAGTTGTGATAATCTAGGGACTGATACAATTGTTTTATGGAGATGACAGAAGTCCATGTGTCATGTTGAGCCAAATCTCTTTCAATCTTTTACTGATCCAAAATTCTAAATTATCAATGATATAAAATGGGGTTGATGAAACTTGAAATTCAGTTCTTAGCAACATATCTCTGCACATCACATCAATAATTACATCAACTAGACATCATCAGACACCAGTAGCAGCAGCTAAAATCAACATAGGGAGAACGCTCCTCACCCTCAGCCAATGAAGGGATGCGGGAGACCTTCATACATCTTCCGAGATGTCAAAACAACGTCTAGCAACCAAGTATGGAGTCGGCATGAGTACAATCAATCAATACCCATATAGATACAAATATGCTTATTCGGCAAGTTTGAGTTTGCTGAAAGTGCGGCCCCTCTCTATAGGGAAAACCTCTGAACAAGGAAACTTTCCTCCAGTCCCAAGAGCATTCCCTGTTCGCAGGTTTTACTGTACAATAGTAAGTGATCTGACACACGAAAAATTCAAGTGATTGAATGAAATATAAAATAAAAGGTACTCAGAGGAACAACTTTAATATAAACATGATTAATGGTTTTTCATATAAAAGTTTAATATTTAAGATTAGAATTGTGGACTTTTACCCTGATTCAATTTGAACTGAAATCAACTATGTCAAATAAAGGCACCTGGACAAATGTTATAGTACACCCTTAATTTACAAAGAAAGAAACATGCCAGGCCCCTATTAGCCAGTTTTGTCAAAAGAAGGGTTCAGTTTTTGAAACAAAAATCCATGAAGGGGGTTCTTGACAATTTTGGCCAAAAATCACTTGAACCCCCTCTCCCTGGCTACTGCCCTGATGTCTTATTTATGTTTATGTGTCTGCCATATATAGCTGCTGCCCTAGTAATATATGCCCTTATTGCAGCAATGATAGCAAAACATATAAGATAAGAATGTAAGATGCAACATCTCTCTGTAAGATACACATCTCTATATGGAATATTTTACAAAAAATACCAAGTCCTATATTAACTAACAGGTTAATGAGGCCTCTCTGTAAGAAACACCTGGGCAAAAGGAACAGTTTTGATTAATACACAGGTTTTACTTGATATATACCGGGGTACCCTTTCCAATATTTTGGTTTTGTTTCTTTAAAAGAGTGCTTCATCTACCTAAATTGTAATGTTCTAGGCTCTGATATTCAGGCTAATTCTGGGGCTAAACAATTCAATACTGTGAAACTTTTTTTTCAAAGATGTAAAATCTTGAAAAGGATAATTTTTAATACCCTTAGATATAGATATAACATCTAATTTCAATAGAACAGCTATCATATAACAATCCTAATTTCTTCTTCTAACTTCATAATTCAACTAAAATATATCGTCACAGGTAAGCCACCCATATATGTTTGCATGTATGTCATAATAAAAAAGTTCCTTCAAATTTCTTTGTTCTTAACAGCTATGGGATGGTTCCTTTCACACTGAAAGTGGAAGTGTGCTTAGTTCCTATATTTAGACTTGGATGCTGTGGTTTCATAAATATAGACAGATGTGGTATAGAGGTACAGTAAAACATGTTGTTATAAATGACACTGCTTATGCTGAAGCCTAGAGGCTCGTGGTAATTAATTGCATATGAAGCCCCCTTTTAAAATAGCAAAATCACACAATTGAATTTAAGGTTAACACAGAGCTAGGATTATTCCTATTGAGATGATTTCCTTGTTGCTTATACTCATCATATCTTTCTGTTTCAATTGAAACATCTATGTCTGAGATGAAAAGATCATGATGTTTGAAGTTTGTTGCCTTTCTTCCTTGTTCCTTATTCTCCTTTCTTATTTCTTATTTAGAAAAGTATTCACATTTCCTTATTCCCCTTTCTTATTTAGAAAAGTATTCACATTTAAACAGACCTGATAATGGGAGAGTTAATCGGTGCCAGAAAAAAACTTCAACTGTTCTCATGTGAGGTCCACTTTAAAAACTGTTCATATAAACTGGTTTTACTGTACTAACCAATAAAAAAACTTGACAGTTTTCTATTGTAACCTAATTGATTAAAAGGGGAGTTTCAACTATTTAAATGGATATTTGATAATAACATAAATTATAGGTTAGGTCTATTTAAATTCAAAAATAACAAAAAACTGCACTCCAATTTATCTTCACTGAAAATAAACTGATACAAAACTGACTTAAATCTTTCCTAGTTCTATTATATAAAGAAAGATGCATTTACAATATTATTTTTTTCAAATATTACCCTTTGTGCTGTCTAGTTTAATTTTAGTCCTATTTATTACATGGAAGCAAAACAGGTATACCCATTAGTCTAGACATTATAGTGAATATTCTATGACACTAAGCTGAAAATAAAAATAAACTGTGAACCATTCAACGAAACACCTGGCTATATGTGAAAAGTTCAATATAAATTCACTCAATATTGTGAATAAATTACCACAAAGACTGTATCCATACAAAGTTCTATGTACCTAATATTAATGGTTGGATCTATTTTGTCATTTCTCTTGGTCTTATGAAGAATATAGAAAATGAAGTTTTTCATAGTTAAATTTGGGACTATTTACATGTATGTTATTTGAAGTTTAAAAATATAAATCAGATCTCTACATAATACTTTTCACAAATTCAAATTTAAAAAAAATTGTATGATGATTGTATAAATTCTAATTATATAATAATATAATTTGATCATTATTGTAAAATTAGAATTAACATTTTATAACATAAAACAAAAATATCTCTAACTTTTACTAATTAAATAAATATTTCCCTGAAATGATATTAATCAAAGAAACGTTTTAATATCGTAATTCTTTAAGAACTTTAGAATGACCTCATCTTTTTGGTAATGGTTTTAATTATGTTTGTTTATTTCAAATCCATAATCACATAAACACTTTATTGAGTCTTATCTAAGTAATTAAACATGGCCAACTTATTTAGAATAAACTTGGTAGTATCTCTGGTGATCATTGAAAGAATTACAGGCTGATATTAATTTTATGTTCTTGTGCAACTGGGGTTTGATGTACTCTATAACAATATATGTTAAGAAACGTTCAAGCTTTATATCAAGAGTATCTAAAATTAATACAGGTAGGCGATTGAATCATTTCGAGGTTACCTTGAAATGTTTCCATTATTGATAAATTAATAGTTATTTTTATTTGTCTATTGTCCTGATAACATCCCGATATGTAGTTGAATCCACAATCATATGGGTCAATCGGCAGAAGCAATTTCAGTGTGTCATTAACTTATTTCAGCCGTCAAAATCCTCTATCGACGCTGCAGCACTAACCCGGATATTAAGGGGATTCCCCTTCTAAAACCTACTGCCATCTTGAAAAGAGGTGCATTTTTCTCAATGAAAAACGAAATTTCCCGTTCTGCTATTAACCCATACGATTGGGGATTACTACATAAAAAGAATACTCGGGAATTTATTGAGGTACGTAATTTAAGTGTGCAAGGCGTGACAATTTCTCCCATATTGCAATCATTTGGACAATCTGTTTAAACGTTCTCAGGACTATTGTCCTGGCACCGATAACGACAGTGCCCAATAAAGACTTAAATAAAAAATGGCCTGTAAAGATCTAAAATAGACTATAATCCTACCTGTCTTGTGACCCAATCTTTTCTATCCGTAAGGACCGTCTTTTTCTTGGGGACGCAGGGGGACTCGGCTGTTTCTCCAACAAGGCCACTCCATTCCTGGACCTGAGATTTGGGATTGTGGTTGAATTTGCAGATTTGATGGAAATTGCCAAGCCATTTGTTGTCTTTGATTGGCGAGCGATTTTAAGGTGTACAGTGTCAAGCGATTTCCCTGATTTTTGGCCACAGTAACAATTGTGGTTCATACCATTGCCCTTGCAAGCTTCTGTAAGGGCACACATGGTTTTGAGCGTGCAATTTGCAATTAATTCACCCCCTCCTTCCACGCTCTCTGTCGCCATCTTCTGTTTTCACTACTGACGTCACGGAATTCCGCGCACCTGTTCTAATGACGTCATGGGGAAACCCTTTCGATTTAATGTTCGGAAATCATGTTCACGAGCTATTATAATTTCTATTGACATAATTCGGCATTTACAGATTGAAAGCAACATACTAGACAACGCATAGTATACGTAAGTACATGTTCAACCTCTGATTTACTTACAAACCAGATTTCAAATTCCCAAAACAACCAAAACTTCTAGATTTCATGCCCGTTGCCAGGTTTTTGTTAGGGGGTGGGACCAGGATCACCTGGAAGCATAGAAAAGAGGTTTATTACAATAACGCATCGCATACGGTGAAATCCGGCCCGGGAATTGGACAAACGCTCTGATATTGGTTATGTTAATTTTACGAATATTTTCTGGGGAGAGAATAACCCCCAGATCCTCGGGGAGAGAATAACCCCCAGATCCCCCTATTCTCTCTCTGGAATTGGTCAGAATGCAACAAATAATTTTCAATTTTCAAAATGTTCTGGGGGAGAACCCCCCAGACCACCTTATTTTCAAAACTCATTTGCTCCGCTCACTCACGCAATTCGCTTTGCTCACAGTTATTATCAAACACCCCCCTTGCTAGCAAATCCATACTGGTGGAAATTTTGTCACATGTGAAAAATCACTTAATCCATACTGGTGAAAATTCAGTCAAATGTGAAAATTCACTAAATCCATACCAGTAAAAATTCAGTCAAATGTGAAATATCACTAAATCCATACTGGTGAAAATTCAGTCAAATGTGAAAGATCACTAAAACCATACTGGTGAAAATTCAGTCAAATGTGAAAGATCACTAAATCCATACTGGTGAAAATTCAGTAAAATGTGAAGATCACTTAATCCATACTGGGGAAAATTCAGTCAAATGTGAAAGATCACTAAATCCATACTGGTGAAAATTCAGTCAAATGTGAAAGATCACTAAATCCATACTGGTGAAAATTCAGTCAAATGTGAAAGATCACTAAATCCATACTGGGGAAAATTCAGTCAAATGTGAAAGATCACTAAATCCATACTGGGGAAAATTCAGTCAAATGTGAAGATCACTAAATCCATACTGGTGGAAATTCAGTCAAATGTGAAAGATCACTAAATCCATCAACTCATCTAGTTGATATACATTTTATGATGCTAAAATAATGCAATGTCTAAAAAATAAACAAACAAATGATCACACATAAGTTTAGACACCTATCTGTATATCTAATATTATATTCAGCTTGGTCAAGTGTCTGATTATTAGGTGATTATGCCTGCTTTAGCAAGAAGGGTGTGACACTCGATTCGGTGAAAATGCTAGAGTTCTTGCCTAATTAGGTATATTCACATATAGACATTTCAACCCCTAGACAACCCAACCCCTAGACAACTCATCCCTGGGCATCTCATCCCCTTAGACAACTCATTGTTTACTACATTGAGCTGAACATTGGCCATTATTTGCCACCAGTGTATGTATAGCAACCTTAAAGAATAAAAATATGTACATGTATATAAAATACATAAATCTTGATTAAAGTTTTTAACTAACTTTAATGTTTGCAGACAGATGTTTCTGAATTGCTGAGAGATGAGTACATATGAAGATTATGAGAAGAGGGCAGCTGTGTATGATAAACACAGAGTTGCTGCAGGGGTAGATACACTCATTGGAATCTTACTTGGACAGACTAGGAAACCATTGTCACAGGTATATAAAATTCACAACGTATTATACATACTTTATGTTTATGAGAAGAGGGCAGCTGTGTATGATAAACACAGAGTTGCTGCAGGGGTAGATACACTCATTGGAATCTTAGTCGGACAGACTAGGAAACCATTGTAACAGGTATATGTAATTCACAAACTATAGTTTATGTTTATGAAGAGGGCAGCTGTGTATGATAAACACAGGGTTGCTGCAGGGGTAGATACACTCATTTGAATCTTACTTAGACAAACAAGGAAATCATTGTCTCAGGTAGTTTGTTCAGATATCAAAAACACAAGGATAAGTACCTGTTAGTTTTAATTAGGTCCATGAAGATGCAGTTGGGGTGGTGATAGTATTCCCCAGTGTCGTAATTAAACATTCATTCACAAGTTCCTATAAAGATATATAACTTCGAAACTTAGATTCTATTTTCTCAAAAACTAGAATTGAATACATAAGGAATATGTACTGGGAGGTTTTAGAAATGGGGTTAATCTAGGGAGGGAGATATGCATACAGTGTGTCTGCCTGAGGAACCGTATTTATCCTATACCCAGTAGTTTCCTCTAAAAAATTCAATGTTTTATCCCAAAAAATTTCAGGAGTGGTAGATATGGAAACCTCAAAATCAGGATACAGGATTTATCTTACCAACTTATCTCCATAAAACTCAACTGGGCATAGGATAAAATATATATACATGTAGATATTCATAAAAGCATACATGTAGCAATTTGTAATGGTATTTCATAATTACTTAATTTCAGCTCCGTGTGTTAGATGCAGGATGTGGCACTGGAAACTACAGTCTTGCCCTGTTAAAGGAAGGCCTGGGGCATGTAACACTATTGGATGCATCCGAAGGAATGCTGCATGTTGCAAAAAAGAAACTCCATACTTTCATAAGAGGTATATTATGCACTGAATTTATATACATTTATTTTTTCAGCAATTTTCATAATAATCAAGCTTATGGTGCATTACTTATGGGATATATGCCTCGTATATATTAAGAAATGTTAAAAATCTCAATTGATTTTAGAGGCTTCATTATTTGATATCATGTTAAAAACTTTTTAAATAGGTTCTGTGCATTTTAGAAGGGACCCTATATTTTTTTGATGCACCATAGAAACACTGAAAACAAGATTTATATATACCTTTACACATGTACCATATACCTTTATACCAATAGTCCTAGAAGAAGGATTCTTATATATACTTATTCAATTATCTGTCAATATAATGTTATTAATATTGTTTTAACTCTTATTTTTACAGATGACAGGGCAGTGGTCAAACATGGTACCATGCCAGATCTAGATTTCCCCGATGACACATTCGATGCTGTTATGTTTAATTTTACCCTTCATCATGTAGAGAATACACCAAACAAAGAGGGAGAATATCCAAAGATTTATAAAACTTTAGAGGCTAGTGTTTATTGTTATCCCAACAAACAATATTTGAAAGGGGTATACATATATAGTGAACCTCACCATCCACTCGTCTTTTTGTCAGTTCGTTGGTCCATCTGTCCAAATACCAGAGAATCTATTTTCTTCTTATTTGAAAGATTTGGATAATATACAGTAGTTATACCATGGGCTTTCAAGAGTGAATGCCCATGGTTATACAAACAAATATTTTTATAGTCTTACATGATGTATTTTGGCTGTTTCACAAAACTACAATTAAAAATATTTTCTTATTAATCTTAATGTGAGTGGCTACAAATATAATTCATTTTAGTTCTGTTTGAGTCGCAAGTAACTCTCTAGATATCTGCCAGATTTTTCCTTTTGTTGTTCTGATAACTACTTAATAAATATTCTGACAAATCTGATTCATCATGTTCATAGTTGAAGTATCAAACTATCCAACTTTACCAACTGAGTTTCTGAGAAATCTGTGTTTACTGAATGGGTGAAAATATACTTTTTGTAGACTTTTATGTATTCAGTAATGTGTTGTTTTTTTCTTTCAGAGGACAAAACAGATATTGACATCTGGGGGAGTGATCATTTTTTCCACTCCATCTCCATGTCAACTGAAACACTCCTATTCATGGCTGCTAAATGAAGAATATCAAAGCATTGCCATTAAACTCTTGGGGATAAATCCTGACAAGTTTAAACAATATTTACAGGTAAATACCTTATGTTACATAGAAGATAGGGTTAAGTTATATGTTTAACTACATGTAAAATGGTCCTTTGTGGATTGTCTCTCCCCTATGGAGAGTTTACATGCTTGGTTGAGTATTGTGGAATTAGAAAAAAAGTTGTAATATTATGTACATAATGATGATTTTATTCAAAATATCATGAACTAACAGTACAAATTATTGTATGGGGAATTCACTATATTTCTTGCCGCTAATGTTTTTCATTTTCTCTTCAGAATTTGGTAGAATATGTTTCATAGAATTCAACGTGTGTAAAAGACTGCAAAGTATAAATACCTGAAAGCCCATGCTATTTCTAAATGTTTTATTTTGCAGAAAATTGGAATGGAAAGGATAGAGTTTGTGATTCCTGCATCAGCTACACTGTGGAACAAGGAAACACATAGAGATCTAGATGGACCTTTAAAGAAGGTTTGTTTATTGTATTTATCTCATGTACGTTTGTGTACTGTATTTATCTGATTGGCTTGGAGGTACCTGTATAGACATACAGAATGTATTGATAAATTTATGAACAGTGATGAAATAGTTTTAACTTGTACCCAATAACCTTTTAGATATTTAAGCTAAATTTAAGTTAAAAGATGACATCACTATATACAAGCCTTTTTTAATATTTAATATATTTTATATAATATATCTTTAATATTTTCAACATTTTCATATTCTGTCTTGCAGGAGACTAGGGACACTATATCTATGTTTGTTCATCTTGAAAACTTAGGACTTTTAGAAAAATATTTGAAGGACTATAAAGCATTTCGAGACTCAATCAAAAATTGTGATGAATTTTTGCGCAATGATGAAGTTACTCGCCAGAACTATGGCCAGATTGTGTTTGTTCATGGACGTAAACTAGAAGTAAAGAATCAGAGCTAAAGGAAGTGACATATCTAAAGGAAGTGACAGAGAAGGAAATGACAGAAATCAAACATTGAACTTTATTTTCCAAGTTATCTTTGAATGGAACAGATCACCATAATGTTATTTGTTGAGGTGTAGTTGCCTCATATGCCTCATATTGTGGACCAATAAACATTGACATCTCATGTGCCTAATCTTGTTGACCAATAAACATTAACATTAACATCTCATATGCCTAATCTTGTTGACCAATAAACATTAACATTAACATCTCATACGCTCATCTTGTTGAACAATAAACATTAACATCTCATATGCCTCATCTTGTTGACCAATAAACATTAACATCTCATGTGCCTCATCTTGTTGACCAATAAACATTAATATTAACATCTCATATGCCTCATCTTGTTGACCAATAAACATTAACATTAACATCTCATATGCCTCATCTTGTTGACCAATAAACATTAACATTAACATCTCATATGCCTTATATTGTTGACCAATAAACATTAATATTAACATCTCATATGCCTATTCTTGTTGATCAATAAACATTAACATTAACATCTCATATGCCTCATCTTGTTGACCAATAAACATTAACATTAACATCTCATGTGCCTCATCTTGTTGACCAATAAACATTAACATTAAAATCTCATATGCCTCATCTTGTTGACCAATAAACATTAACATTAACATCTCATATGCCTCATATTGTTGACCAATAAACATTAATATTAACATCTCATATGCCTAATCTTGTTGACCAATAAACATTAACATTAACATCTCATATGCCTCATCTTGTTGACCAATAAACATTGACATTAAAATCTCATATGCCTCATCTTGTTGACCAATGAACATTAACATCTCATGTGACTAATCTTGTTGACCAATAAACATTAACATCTCATATGCCCCATGCCCTCATCTTGTTGACAAATAAACATTAACATTAACATCTCATATGCCTCATCTTGTTGACCAATAAACATTATCATCTCATATGCCTAATCTTGTTGACCAATAAACATTAACATCTCATATGCCTCATCTTGTTGACCAATAAACATTAACATCTCATATGCCTCGATCTTGTTGACCAATAAACATTAACATCTCATATGCCTAATCTTGTTGACCAATAAACATTAACATCCCATATGCCTCATCTTGTCGACCAATAAACATTAACATTAACATCTCATATGCCTCATATTGTTGACCAATAAACATTAACATCTCATATGCCTAATCTTGTTGACAAATAAACATTAACATCTCATATGCCTCATCTTGTTGACCAATAAACATTAACATCTCATATGCCTCATCTTGTTGACCAATAAACATTAACATTAACATCTCATATGCCTCATATTGTTGACCAATAAACATTAACATCTCATATGCCTAATCTTGTTGACCAATAAACATTAACATCCCATATGCCTCATCTTGTCGACCAATAAACATTAACATTAACATCTCATATGCCTCATATTGTTGACCAATAAACATTAACATCTCATATGCCTAATCTTGTTGACCAATAAACATTAACATCTCATATGCCTCATCTTGTTGACCAATTAACATTAACATCTCATATGCCTCATCTTGTTGACCAATTAACATTAACATCTCATATGCCTCATCTTGTTGACCAATAAACATTAACATCTCATATGCCTCATCTTGTTGACCAATAAACATTAACATTAACATCTCATATGCCTCATATTGTTGACCAATAAACATTAACATCTCATATGCCTAATCTTGTTGACCAATAAACATTAACATCTCATATGCCTCATCTTGTTGACCAATAAACATTAATATTAACATCTCATATGCCTCATCTTGTTGACCAATAAACATTAATACTAAATCTCATATGCCTCATCTTGTTGACCAATAAACATTAACATCACATATGCCTAATCCTGTTAACCAATAAACATTAACATTCACATCTCATATGCCTCATATTGTTGACCAATAAACATTAACACTAACATCTCATATGCCTCATATTGTTGACCAATAAACATTAACACTAACATCTCATATGCCTAATCTTGTTGACCAATAAACATTAACATTAACATCCCATATGCCTCATCTTGTTGACAAATAAACATTAACATTAAAATCTCATATGCCTCATATTGATGAGAAATAAACATTAACATTAACATCTCATATGCCTCATCTTGTTGACTAATAAACATTAACATCTCATATGCCTCATCTTGTTGACCAATAAACATTAACATCTCATGTGCCTAATCTTGTTGACCAATAAACATTAACATCTCATATGCCTAATCTTGTTGACCAATAAACATTAACATTAACATCTCATATGCCTAATGTTGTTGACCAATAAACATTAACATCTCATGTGCCTAATCTTGTTGACCAATAAACATTAACACTAACATCTCATATGCCTAATCTTGTTGACCAATGAACATTAACATCTCATATGCCTCATCTTGTTGACCAATTAACATTAACATCTCATATGCTTAATCTTGTTGACCAATAAACATTAACATCTCATATGCCTCATCTTGTTGACCAATAAACATTAACATCTCATATGCCTAATCTTGTTGACCAATAAACATTAACATCTCATATGCCTCATCTTGTTGACCAATAAACATTAACATCTCATGTGCCTAATCTTGTTGACCAATAAACATTAACACTAACATCTCATATGCTTAATCTTGTTGACCAATAAACATTAACATCTCATATGCCTCATCTTGTTGACCAATAAACATTAACATTAACATCTCATATGCCTCATCTTGTTGACCAATAAAGATTAACATCTCATATGCCTAATCTTGTTGACCAATAAACATTAACATCTCATATGCCTAATCTTGTTGACCAATAAACATTAACATTAACATCTCATATGCCTCATCTTGTTGACCAATAAACATTAACATTAACATCTCATATGCCTCATATTGTTGACCAATAAACATTAACATCTCATATGCTTCATATTGTTGACCAATAAACATTAACATCTCATATGCCTCATCTTGTTGACCAATAAACATTAACATCTCATATGCCTCATATTGTTGTCCAATAAACATTAACACTAACATCTCATATGCCTAATCTTGTTGACCAATAAACATTAACATTAACATCTCATATGCCTCATCTTGTTGACCAATAAACATTAACATCTCATATGCCTCATATTGTTGACCAATAAACATTAACATCTCATATGACTCATATTGTTGACCAATAAACATTAACATCTCATATGCCTCATCTTGTTGACCAATAAACATTAACATCTCATATGCCTCATATTGTTGACCAATAAACATTAACATCTCATATGCCTCATATTGTTGACCAATAAACATTAACATCTCATATGCCTCATCTTGTTGACCAATAAACATTAAGATTAACATCTCATATGCCTCATCTTGTTGACCAATAAACATGAACATTAACATCTCATATGCCTAATCTTGTTGACCAATAAAGATAAACATCTCATATGCCTAATCTTGTTGACCAATAAACATTAACATCTCATATGACTCATCTTGTTGAACAGTAAACATTAACATTAAAATTTCATATGCCTCATATTGTTGACCAATAAACATTAACATCTCATATGCCTAATCTTGTTGACCAATAAACATTAACATCTCATATGCCTCATCTTGTTGACCAATTAACATTAACATCTCATATGCCTCATCTTGTTGACCAGTAAACATTAACATTAAAATTTCATATGCCTCATATTGTTGACCAATAAACATTAACATCTCATATGCCTAATCTTGTTGACCAATAAACATTAACATCTCATATGCCTCATCTTGTAGACCAATTAACATTAACATCTCATATGCTTCATCTTGTTGACCAATAAACATTAACATCTCATATGCCTCATCTTGTTGACCAATAAACATTAACATCTCATATGCCTCATCTTGCTGACCAATAAACATTTACATCTCATATGCCTAATCTTGTTGACCAATAAACATTTACAAATCATATGCTTCATCTTGTTGACCAATACACATTAACATTAACATCTCATATGCCTAATCTTGTTGACCAATAAACATTAACATTAACATCCCATATGCCTCATCTTGTTGACAAATAAACATTAACATTAAAATCTCATATGCCTCATCGTGTTGACCAATAAACATTAACATCTCATATGCCTCATCTTGTTGACCAATAAACATTAACATTAACATCCCATATGCCTCATCTTGTTGACAAATAAACATTAACACTAAAATTTCATATGCCTCATCTTGTTGACAAATAAACATTAATATTAACATCTCATACGCCTCATCGTGTTGACCAATAAACATTAACACTAACATCTCATATGCCTCATATTGATGAGAAATAAATATTAATATTAACATCTCATATGCCTAATCTTGATGACCAATAAACATTAACATTAACATCCCATATGCCTCATCTTGTTGACCAATAAACAATAACATCTCATATGCCTAATCTTGTTGACCAATAAACATTAACATTAACATCTCATATGCCTCATATTGATGACAAATAAATATTAATATTAACATCTCATCTGCCTAATCTTGATGACCAATAAACATTAACATTAACATCCCATATGCCTCATCTTGTTGACCAATAAACATTAACATCTCATATGTCTCATCTTGTTGACCAATAAACATTAACATTAACATCTCATATGCCTCATCTTGTTGATTAATTAACATTAACATTAACATCTCATATGCCTCATCTTGTTGACCAATAAACATTAACATCTCATATGCCTAATCTTGTTGACCAATAAACATTAACATTAACATCTCATATGCCTCATATTGATGACAAATAAATATTAATATTAACATCTCATATGCCTAATCTTGATGACCAATAAACATTAACATCCCATATGCCTCATCTTG